TCCCTCTCAGGGCTCGAATTCTACATGGCAGGATCCTAGCCTCCATTATAACGAGACGATGGCCACGAACATGGTCTACTATGCTGCAGCCGCCTACTATTGTAGAACATCCGCCTGCGAGACATGGGCATGCGGGTAATTATCGACTTGTCAGGTCTCGGTTATCAAAGGGCTCCATTGTCGAGAAGGACACATTGTCCTACTTGTCACGTCTACTATCTTATCTAAACACCGTGCTCCCGGGCTTTCCTTCCCACTCAGATCCTGTGCGCGGTTCCCAAACATGACAGTGCGTCGTGTCTCTGCGGGATTCGGCAATGGTTATGTGGGTTATGATGCAAAGGAAGGTAATATCCATGTGTAACTTGCGAAAGCCCGACCTGGCATTTTTGACGCACTTATTACCCGAAAAATTACTCTTCTCTTCCTGCGGCTGGCGGGATCCAGGCGCGATCGTTGTGGCGTTTGCCGGTACGGATTCGAGCAGCATCGAAAACTGGATATCTAATTTGGATGCTTTCAAGACAGACTACACTGTAGGCTCTTGCGAGGTAAAGGTTATCTTCTAAGAAATGAAATGAGATAGGCATTTCCTTCTTTAGTAAGAGATGGTGATCGGAACCCGCGGAGAGGAGAAAAGCAACACATAGACTAACAGACAGTCGTGGAGAAACGTTATTTGAAACCGCCTAATATCATGGACGGTACCACGGAGAGAAAAACAAGAAATGAAATTCGCATATTAAACTTATCATACCCCATTTCGATTCATAGGATTGTGAGGTCCACGACGGATTCATGAGCAGTTACGCAGGAATCTCTGCTGATGTAAGACTTTTCGTTGGCGAGCTGCTGGCGACGCACGTCGATGCACCCATTTGGATAGCTGGTACGCGAGGATGGGTAGTTCATAGAAGATAGGCAGTCGATAGAGCCAGCCAGGACAACAGAGGGACAAGAGACCAAGGGACTCCAAGAGGCCACCCGAAACACTTCATTCGATGAGTTCTTCCAGGCCTCCATGTTATGTCACCTTGTTCCTCTCTTGTCATGGCTCATTACACAGGCCACTCTCTTGGGGGAGCAATCTCAGTCCTTTGTATGGCAGACTTGATGAGTCTTGGGCATAATGTACAGCGAGTAATGACATTTGGCCAGCCTCGCGTGGGCAATGACCAGGTAAGACATAGATACGACGTGAGGCACCCTGACCACCACATAGACGTTGTTCGTTTCAAAGCAGTTGGAAACACAACTCAAATCCCCACGTCACTCTTCCCATTCCCCAAGTTTGCATCCTTTGTCACCACGCTAGCAGAGTCTCTTGAGTTTCCCCTTTTCCGGCTTGTCCACAATAGGGATCCCGTCCCTCACTTGCCCCTCATGAGTAAGTGTCAGGTACAAGGAGTTCAAGGGAAAACAGAACTAGGCCAGATAGAATCGACACGAGCATAGCCGTGAGGGTTGAAGATGTTTGATTTCCTTCAATAACTTCATCCGATCGTGCTCGTTCATTTCTGCCTTTCTCCTTCCCTATGATTTCCAGTCATGGGCTTCGAGCACAGTCCCTTCGAAGTATTTTACACAGAAGCAATGACATCATATGTCATTTGTGATGCCTCTGGTGAGGATGCTTCTTGCTCAAATCAATTTCCGCTATCAACTGAGGTTGTGGATCATGGAACCTACCTTGGTACGTGGTAACTCGGTAGTCATCGCAGGAGAGCAATGTTTCCCTT